TAATTTGACGTCTCCTGTGCAATTTTTAAGAAAAAATTTCCAAAAGTTTTTGAGATATATCGATTTTAGTGATGTAACTACATGGCGTTTTTAGTCAAAAAGTGGTAAATGTTTAAAAAATCGCCAAAAATCAGGGTTTAAAGCAAATTGCAAATTAAGGACATGAAAAGACGCAGCTCAACAAGTTCTTTAAAATGGCTATCTCGGATTTTCCATAAAATGTGTTTTTTCACACCTAAAAATTCAAAAAAAAAACTATATTTTTTTGGAAAACAGCAAATAAAATCCAAAATTTTGGGAATTTCCAAAAAACCGGAATATATCTTGTAGAGCTCTATTAGAACATTAGATGCCCCAAATTTCAACTTTCTATCTTGATTTTTGACCCCCAAATTGTAAAAAATAGCTCCAACATGCATAGGGCATGGTGACGTCATAAGCATTTTCGTGAATTAGAGGCACTTCTGAACATCGCATGTGAAAACAAATGGCACCACTAGATTCCTGGGACAAAGCTCGTCTAGAAAAGTGCATTTTTATGTCAAAAATAAAAAGTTGAAAAATTGATTTTTTTCTTAGCCCTCGTTTAGTTATGTTTAGTATAAACGATTTTTATGCTTTCAATGCACACTTATCACCAGCACAGTGACTTGGGGTCACATATATGATATAACCATTACCATCGCATTCGGCGTGAAAAATAAGCCATAAAACATGTGTCGCACGCCCATGTAGCAGAAAGTGAAAACCGTGACCTTTCGTGACCTGACCTGACCTTGACCCATGCTTAGTATGACCCCTATACGCACATGGTACCTTCACTAGGCCTTTGAGGTCATTTTTGGTGAGTTTCGAGCAGCAGCTATCGATTCCGCTGTCCGTAAGCCGATTCATGCAAAACCCCTGAATTTGACCTTTGACCTGACCTTGACCCGAAAGTTGACCTCAATCTTAAAATCTTAACCCATTAGTGCCCATAGCCATATATATATTTCGCAAATTTATGAATTTTTTCCTCAAAAGTGTGGGTGTTTTTCATGAAAGTATATACGCCCCATATATAAATAAGCATTTTTAAAGGACTTGATGTGCGGTTGCTGCTGCTGCGCCATTTTCTCTGTTCTGCTTGACAGTCGCGAAACTACGTCAACATGCCGAAAAAACGCCGGTGAGTGTATTTAGTTATTTAGCTGTTCTAATTCAATAAATTTCACAGACATGTTTCTTTGAACTGCCCTTAAGACCCCTGAAACGAATAAAATAGCCTCGTTGAAGATTTGCCGCAGCATGACGCTCTTCTGTACGGGTCAATATATTTATGGCCATGGGCGTTTGGGTGGTCGAAAATGTGCGTTGCAGTCTGCTATCATTTTCCAGGTTTGGAAAGCTGATTGATCTCCTGGATGAAGTTGATGAGAGTGGCGAGAGTCCGGCCACTGTCTTCCTGTGTCCTCCTAACGTGCGTGAGGACAGCGACGCCGACTCGGGAGACGAGGACGGAGGCGGTACCATCGACAACCTCAACCGCAACCTGCTGCAAGCAGATGCTGAACTCGTCGGCCAAGAGGACGGTTCTGACGACGAAGCTGCTGAATCGGTCGCCCCAACCAGCCACAGGTGGGGCAAACGAGAGGTCGCTTCATTTCTGAAGGAGCGAGAGGAAGCTTGCCCATACCCACAGGTGAACTTTTCGAACAAGACACCCGTTGAAGTACTGAGCTTCTTCTTGGATGACGAGTTCTATGCGCAACTCCTTCAGGAGACACGCCGATATATCCAGTGGAGAGGGAAGAATGTCCAGGAGCCCTCCATCGCCGAGCTGAAGGCTGTCATGGCGATCCTGTACTTCTCGGGATACCACAACGTGCCGAACCGCCGGGCCTTCTGGTCGACAGACCCTGACCTGCACGTGGAATTCGTCTCCCGGATCATCTCGAGGAACCGCTTTGACGACATCCTTTCGGTCCTCCACTTCGCTGACAACCAGCGTCTCGACCCCAGTGACAAGATGGCCAAGCTGCGACCTCTCTTCAACAGCATGCAAGACAAGTTCTTGCGAGCTTTTCAGAGACCGCCATCTTCCACAGAACTGGACGTGGATGAGAGCATGATTCCCTACTATGGCCGTCACGGGTGCAAACAGTTCCTGAGAGGGAAGCCCATACGGTTTGGGTTCAAGGCGTGGTGCCTTAACAGCCCAGATGGGTATCTACTGACCTTCGAAGTGTACCAAGGTGCCAGCGGAACTGCTCAGCGTCCAGACTATGAGGCCGCCTTCGGGAAATGTGGATCAGCAGTGAAGATCCTCATAGACAGAATGCCGAAGGAGATGCGCATGGACGCACTGCACATCTTTACGGACAACCTCTTCACCAGCCTTCCTCTGATGATGGCGCTGAAGGAGGAGGGAATCGGGCACACGGGAACCATCCGCCAGAACCGCCTCCGAGGATGTCCGCTGAGCTCGGTGGCAGCGATGAAGAAGGCTCCCAGGGGAGACACCTCTGTCGCCGTGGAAACGAAGCAGGGCATCAACCTCGTCAGGTGGAAGGATAACAGCGTGGTGACCGTAGCATCTACGGTAAGCTCGTCCCGAACTGTGGCTGAAGTTCAAAGATGGTCGCGACGAGAGAAGAAGAGGATCAAGGTAGCTCAGCCACAGATGATTCAGGACTACAACTGCGCCATGGGCGGTACCGACCGCATGGACCAGAACATCGGCGCGTACCGCATCGCGATCCGACAGAAGAAGTTCTGGTGGTGCATCTTCTGCTGGCTTCTGGGGGCCGCGATGCAGAACGCCTGGCTGCTCTACCGTCAGCATCATCCAGGCGAGAATCAGATCAACTTCATCCGAGCCATCGTCCGGTATCACCTGGCAGAGACGACGAAGCCACCATCTGGACGTCCAAGTTCCGCGTCGAGTCAGCATCGCGTCCCAGCCAGCATCCGCTACGATGGTATCAACCACCTGGTCGTTCCTCTTGCCAAGCAGGGAACGTGTGCAAACAAGGAGGGAAAGTGCAAGAGCCACCCGAAGACCGCCTGTCGCAAGTGCCAGGTGCCGCTGTGCGTGGCGTGCTTCGTGCCGTTCCATGCGACCTGAGAGTAAGAACATGCTGTACACCATGGGGAAATTTGGGCTAGTTGGGCCAACACTGTTGGATACGGTGAGATGGGTGAAAGTTTGCAAGCGCCGTCTAGATCCCGGAGGGATGTTTTGTTTTCAGCGTTTGCTGTAAGCTGTGTCACTGTCCAATGCACTTCGATGTTTGTGAGTCAGGTAGTGCATTGACTCATCATCGTAATTGATTGTTGACCGCTGACACTATCAATCATCACGATCATTCGCCTGATCTCATAATATGTTCACATGTTGGTAGTGGCAAGTGCCTATCAGCATACACATCTAAGAATATACATTGGTTCTCAAAAGTTTCTTTTGAATTGCGCTTTGTGGCAATATTTCGACTACCCAGGTGCCCATAGCCATATATTTATTGACCCCCCTGGCGACAAATTGGGGGGGATAAAAAACAAGAAAATCATCCTAAGCTAATACACTCGATAAAGAAGCTAGTATTTTGTGCAAAAAAGTTTGAAATTTTGACTAAAAATAAGTTGGGCACTAATGGGTTAAGAGTGTTTTGGGGAGGTCTCGTAGAGACCTTTCGAACGCCGCCTCGCGGGGCTCGATACGACCATTGGTTCTCGAGATAACAAGGGGGGGGGGGTCGGATCCGACCCCCCCCCCCCAGGCTGTCGTGGGTACGGAAATAGCCCAGGCGGTGCCGGGTTAAAGCTTGACATGAATTAGCATCCTAAAAATCAAATAAATGCGCTCAGCATTAGTGATGTCAATTACGGAAAATCGGAATACCGATACCAAACCAAATACCAACCAAAACCGTGGAGAAATACCGAAACCAAACCAACTTTGGAACATGAGAAAAATACAAACTTTTTTTTACCTATTTGTTAGCCTCTTAAACAATAGCGAGGGTTCATGATACCAACAAAATACCAAACACATTAGGATGGAAATACCAAATACCGAGTTGGTATCGGTTTATACCAAAAAGTTGGTATCCGATTGACATCTCTACTCAGCATCCTCAATACCTATGTCTTTTACTTACCGTGGGCCAGGTATTATTTTCACTTTCATATGGGCGCAGCCCTATTTTTGCTGGTGCATTATTTTGAATAAAAAACAGCGCGAAAAGTGACTTGTGTGATGCGTCCTTTGCAATCTAACCCACTGATCCTGACTAGGTTGCAGCGACTTCATGATGTAGTACATTCAAGCTCCACGACAAGCATTCAATATCGATAGACAATGATTTAATGACTTTAATCGTCAACATCTGACATTTGTCTTTTCTTATGCAAAAGCTCAAAACATTTTTTTATCTGAACCATGTGACAGTCGTGAGCACTTAAATTAATAATGACATTGATTCAGCTCATTCATTTCAGATGCCAGAGCCCAGAGGGGACTCGAACGCACCCGCATTCCATTTGATTCGGAACAATTCCTGTGGAACGCAGGCTCCTACTTTCAAAACATGTTTTATCAATTGCACTGTTCGCATCGAAGAAAAAAAATTGATCCGAGTTCATCCGTGATCGGTATGAAGGCTAGGAACATCGTGCCGTCGTGCCGTGCGCGATTCGCCATTGCACAAATGCCAAACCCATGCCAGTTCAACGGCAATCCCAAACCAGCACTAAAGAGGGGTGCTATCGTATTCATATAATTCAAAGATAATGCTCAGTTGATGACCTGGGCTGACTTTGGGCTATGCAAAGATGGAGGTAGGTTATTTACAAATATCTGGATACTACCAGTGGCACCTCAACTGGTTTCTATGTTTCTGTGCGCGACTGCAAGTGTCTGTGTCCCTGTGAGAGTCGCCGCCTCGTGTCCCCGGCGGGGCGGGGCGCCGCCGGCGGCCGCTCCGCTGCGGGGCGGAGCGGGTCAGCGGCTGGGACGCGCCGCGGCCGTCTGACCAGTCGCGGGTTGGTCGGCCGCCGCGGCGCACCTCCGACCGCCCCCCTGGCGCCGACGTCGGTAGCGCCCCAGCTGGTCGTCTGTATCGTCAGCAGCCATGGTGCCACGCGGAGTGGTGCTGGTGCTCTTTCTGCTCTGCCTCTGGTGCCTGGCCCGGGGCAACAGCGCCGTCTACAGTAAAGGTCAGTGCTCATCAATAATGTGGTGGCGGTGGTGTTTTGTTCCTGCTTAGTCCATTTCGAACGGTTCTTTATAGCAAATAGTTCCAATGCCCAACAGAGATCAGCTAAATGATTCATAAGGCGCTGAGATGGGCTAGTGTGGCTGGGAACGCTAGATCATATTATCTCGTGAATAGCTTGGCTGACTGAGTGGCTAACTGAATGCTCGTGTGAGAATAGCATTAAAGAATAAAGGAGAAGCTTAAAGAATGGCATAAAGTTACCTGGTTTTGCGGCACCTTGCATTGTACACTGAAGTAAAAACCAGCTTTGGGCGCTACTTACCGTTGAGTGGTAGGTATTCCATTGTCGAAAGACACGTTTATTTAAGAGTATTTTTATCAGCTGTATGTCATTATCATTGTTGTTTTTGCATCAATGTACGATGTAGTGAGCTATAGTTCGTTTTTTCTAAGTTCGACCCTCACTGTAAACGTCTCTTTGAACACAGCACGAGAATTGGTAGCTGAATTACTGAGAAAACTCGTTGGCGCACAATGATTTCGCAGACGATCAATTGTATCAAAATTATTTCTACCTGGCTCCTTTTTCCCAGACTCGCAGTTCGGTATTTGCAACCCCACAAGGATCGAGGACTTGTCAGGAAATATAACTGAACTAATAAATAAATCGCACGGTGTTTAACGTAACAGTATATCATCGGTGTTAGAAACTTATTTTGAAAATATTTGTTCATATCTCCAATACAAAGTGCGCTAGCCAGTTTTCTCAGTAATTCAGCTAGCAATTCTCGTGCTGTTTCCAAAAAGATGTTTACAGTGAGGGTCGAACTTAAAAAAAACGAACTATACCTATTTCATTACAAAATATGGGTTGGATTAAATTCAACGTTCCCAGAAGATGATTATCACGCTAGTGATGCGCGATACCAAATAAAGGTTTGCAATGCAGTACCAAATAAATAATCAATGGGTTTAAATTAAAATAAACTCATTTCGTTCAAACTCTACATAGATCAACAAGAGGTTCTGCCTACTACCATCACAAATTAGCTACCTCTCCGAAGCGTCTAAACAATAAATTTGATCTGTTCAATTTCTGGCCATGTGGGATCCCACGCCAACATGGGATCCCTGTGGCTTATCTCCGTCAGCGCGGTTCCATCTTAACTCGCCCATGCCTAAGTGCCAGTGCCCAGATTGCGCTCAGCATTGTTGCAGTTGAGCTCCGTGCGGTCTGCACAGCCCATTGGCATATCCGCCGACAAGCATGGAGCTCGTCGGTCGTGTTTTCCGAGCAAATATTTAGCGTCGACTGGTGCGGTAGGCTGGTCTGAAATGGCGCGAGGTGAGCCGCGTTATACACACGGACCAGACCTCACAGGGAGCGAGTGTGGACCGCGGACCGCACAACGAACCAGACCGCATTTAGTGGACCACGCCGGACCAAGCCGCGTCCGGACCAGACCACCCAAGGACTCTCTGGGGTTTTATTGGTCCACCTGGCATCCTAACTCGTCGAATAAACCTTTGTGAAGGATTGAATTTGTCAGGAGTCGACTTCAGGAATCGCACATGTCAGGTGTGTATCTCGCTGGGAGAACGACGCTCTCGGTGGGGCCTTGCCCACCGGTGGTGGCTGTGAGTGGGTGTAATTACCAGTCGTCGGTACAGCTGCGCGGCGGTCCGTGCCGCCGCCGCGCCAGTGCAGACCGGGCCTGTTTAAGCCGTCTGAACCTGTTGACGTGGGCTTCCGTCCGTGCGGCTCCTCCCACGGTACGCAGAAGCACGCCCGACCTTGATTCGCGGCCCAATATGGACCGGTGCGAGGGAGGGTGCCGCGGCCACCTGACGTGACGGGGCAGGCCGACGCGTCACGGAAGTCACGGGGCGTCACAGGTGCCCACAGCTCGGGTGAGACACCCAGAGCGCCGGAGGTCCTGTGAGGTCGTAAGGCAGCTAGCTCTGTGATGAGCGTACCGCACCGCCCGGGTGTCGCCAAGGGTCATACCCCACACGTCGCTCGGTGCCAGGTGCACAGAGTGCCCAGAGTGGCCAGACGCTTGGTGCGCACAAGTGATGAGGCAGGTGGTACAGATGACACCCATATCCGGGAGAGCAGGGCTGCGGAGTCGATGGATTTTCAGCGACTCCGACTCCGACTCCGACTCCGGCCAGAATTGTCGACTCCGACCGACTCCAACTCCCGACTCCGACTCCGCAGACCTGGCAGGGCTGCGGAGTCGACGGATTTTCGGTGACTCCGACTCCGACTCCGGCTCGGGTTTCTAAAATCGACTCCGACTCCGACTCCGACTCCGGTCACAACTGTCGACTCCGACCGACTCCGACTCCGACTCCGACTCCGACTCCGCAGCCCTGCGGGAGAGACAAGACTGATTCGTGTCTGGAACATTACGAAAGCGCAAGGGGCTGAGGAAAGGGACCGCGAATGCCAGACTTGGTACGGAATCCATTCATGTGATCAAAACAGAGAAATGGAACAAAGGGAGAAAGAGGGCTATTTGGATAAGATGAGGGGAGAAAGAGAGAGAGAGAGAGAGAGAGAGAGAGAGAGAGAGAGAGAGAGAGAGAGAGAGAGAGAGAGAGAGAGAGAGAGAGAGAGAGAGAGAGAGAGAGAGAGAGAGAGAGAGAGAGAGAGAGAACGAGAGAGAGAGAGAGAGAGAGAGACCGACAAACCGACAGAGACAGAGACAGAGACAGAGACAGAGAGAGGAGAGAGATAGGAACATCGGAGAGTGAAATCTGAGGACGAAGAAAGAAAAACAGTCGAGGCACATGCCCAATCAAATACTGGATCTGAATGTTAAACAAGGCTGGACACTTTTGGTTGTATTGGGAGCAGATATGGCACAATTTCTAAGATTGTGTAACAGAAGACAGAGGAGACCCCAGCCAGGAGACCCCTGGCAGTGCTGTAGACCTGTGAAGGCCGCCATATGTAAGTCGCAGGTAGTCGACTATCATACTTTGAGCCGGTAATAGGCGGGTACCTGGTCTGATGTGCAGTGCCCAGCGCCGTCCCTAATGAACGCGGCAATGACCTGCTTCTGAACGGCGGCGGCCGGCGCCGGACCAGGTCAGGTCGTGTCGGCCGCTGTCGTCTGCGCGGTGGTGGCAGCAACGTGTCCGCGGCTCACGTACGGCAGTAGCCGCAGGTGGGGGGAGGGGGACGGGTCAGTGACGAGCGGGGGGGGGGGGGGGTGCTGGTCGGCGCCCACCGACCGGCAGAGCGACGGCTCGGAGATTTACGGCGCTAAGTGACGACACTCGGAGCTCCAGTCGGCCCACGGAGACGATTACAGAGCGGCCAACTTCAGAATCTGCTTCCAAGTTTTCGAGTGAATCTCGAGTAATTATCATTTGCTGACTGAGTGTATTCTGGTGTTGAAGTTTGGCTACATGAAACAGAGTTTATATAAAACAACTTTAGGGTGAAAACAAATCGTGCTTTGCAGCAAAACCTTGTGTGCATTTACCTTATATAATTGCAGCATGGATATCAATACAAATATTATTTCAGTTTGAGATCAGTCAGCGAGAGTGCGCCTCAACCAGAGTGCACTTTCTGGAACTCACTTTCCTCACAAGAAACGTTCGCAAATTATTGCCTTCTTCTGGATGCTCGGTCCGGCATTTCTGTGCGTGTTTGGGCGGTCAATCTGGGATCGTTTAGCTGATCTTCCTCTGAGTTAGTTTCATCCAGCGATGTTTCGACGCAATAGTCCATTTGTGTATTGGCCAGCGCGGCTTAGCTCTAGTGCCTAAGTGAGTGATTGAGGTGGGATCCATATTGCGATGTACATGTAGGCGGATCAGAAGATTTTGCCGTCTTCAGTCTTTTTGATGCCCATTAGATGTAATAAGTCAGATGAGGAAGAGCAGCAGCAGTCTTCTAGATGCATTTCAAAAAATTTAGTCGCATATACGAATGCACGCACATTCGAAATAATGAATAGGTAACTGTGAAGGCCAAAAATGCGCAGTGCACTCGTTCATACACACACACACACGTCACATCACAACAGGTATAGAGCCTCTGAGCGATGATGGAATATTGATCACCGTCGTTTTCCGTCGATTTACCGTGATAAAAGCATTCTATTTTGGTGAATGGATTAGCTATAATACGACAGTGCTGTGGAAATAACATTACCACTTGGTGAAATTTATGAATGACTGTTACGAAAGGCGATTTATGAAAACGCGTCATTTCTATGCATCAGCGCTAAACTCGATTATGCCATGTCCATATCCTGTTGATCAGAGACATTGACGGCGGCGTTCCCAATGCACCCAACGTTCTCCGTTCGCAGGAGAGTCAATACACGAATAGAGAGCCGGCCGAATCAGTCTAATCGTCTCCCATGTTACTCATTATGGCCGCGCATGATCAAACATTTACCCGACCGTGTACGCCATCCATTTTAATTGGATGACTCGGCATCGGCGCACACTGTTGGGCGCGCATTATGTTTCTGGATGTGACGATGAAATCAGTACTGCGGCTGCGGCCTAACCGGACGGTCACGCACCGAATTCAGCCCTGCAGCATGCTGTCCGCCCTGACGACATTGGCATTCAGCAACGGCTACAATGAAGCCGACCGGGCTCTCTTAGAATCCCGAGTCGGGATGAAGCCGTCATCCATGGCCACGGAATATAAAGACATCCTCCGCACATTGAAAGCCCCCGACATGAGCGACATCAAAGCTACTCCGACCGGGCCCATGTCCTTTCACTTGTCGAGATAAGACGTTCGATCTGAGCGGCCACATGCCGGATGTGGATATGAGGCCGAGCCGACATCCATCGTCTATACCAGGTAGGTAATTGGCGCTTGGAACTGGATTCGGTTTCACTGCTGCTTCAAAGCTCATGAAGTTTCATTATGTTATCATTTTCTATCTCTTTGGCGTCAGCGGCGGCGGCGGCGGCGGCGCCGCCGCCGAAGTTGTCTGGGCAGGGTCGAGAGGAGGG